ACATATATAGGAATTATTGGCTCATCATGGGACGTCTCCCAAGAATTTACAAAGCCCTTTAGTTCATTGTCCAACCTTGGATAAACTTGTTAACTTGTTCTCCTATATTTTCCAACAAATGTTAACCATTATCAATATGGTTATTACTACACCATAGTTACCACTATTGAATATGCATAATTGTGTCAACATAATACGATAAGCATATGCACTACATGCATTTGTGAATTCACAATAACATTGGCCAGATGTAATTATGAATATACCATACATGAGTCTCCTGGAAAATATAATATTTTTAAATGCAATTTCTTGCTTTAACCATCCTACATGTATAATTCTTAAGGCATCCTATCTCAAGGATCCTAAATATGTCACAAAATGGAACAACCTTTTGAAGTGTCATTTAAATGAATTGATTTCAACACATTCATTAATGTTGAAATGACATAGTCAAAATTTTGATACTATTGTTCCAAAACTTGCTTTAAGTTATATAATGACTTTACTACTCACACATTTTGTTGCTTTCCCTCAGGTAAGATAAATGTTTGGCAGTTCCATGTAGATTTATACTTTTAAAACTATGTTTAGAAGTTTTAGTTTCATATTAGAACGATATACTTCCAAATTTCGAGAAGTTACATCCACATATAATTATAAGAGCATACAAATGAAATTAATCAAGATTTTCTTATGCTTGTAATCCAAACATATATTTCAAATATGTAATCATCTCTTACTTCTCATTTGGAAACCCACTAAACTGCAATGATTTTTCTCAAACTCAATAGTCCAAAAGATAGAACCATTATTAGTTTTTACAACTTAATTCAATATGATCTTCTAAGAAATGATCATATGATTCCAAATTTAGAATACTCATATTTCCATTCATAGTCCTTTCAACTTCATGTTGAATATCTTAATATTCGTCAAAAACCTTTATCTTGTTTTGATGAATTTCAACCAATATTATTGGATTTAATGGAAATAGCTTCTTGTAGTATAGAAATATCATTTGATTTTAAATTTCCAAACAAGAAATCGGTGCATTTTTCTATTGAAATCCTAGACCATTATGTTCTAACCGATTCTCATATTCTTTGGATCTATCTGCTTTCATTTTCCTCTTGAAATTACATTTATAGCCTAGTGGTTTACATACTAGAGGTATATCCACTAGCTCTCATGTGCGATTTGGCACAATAGAATCCATTTCACTTCTAATTGCCTATTTCCATTAAGGTCTTTCAGAGGAAGTGAAATCCTTTTTGAAAGTTTGAGGCTCTCTTTCAACCATATACACACATAAATCATTTCCAAATGATTTCTCACTTGTACCCTTTTACTCCATCATGATCTAGTTATTCCTCAATTTCTTTTTCATGAGAGGATTCTTTGTGCCCAATTGTTGTGGAGCACTTGTCTTTCATCTATCAAGACATGAAAACACATTTTCCAAGTATGATGCATTTGTTGATTCCATTATTGTGCCTTTATTTTAGACTCGTGTACACGAAACAATAAGCACTATTGTTTTGTGCATAACCAAAAAAGATGCAACCAACAATCTATTGTACAATCCTTACAACCTTGGGGTTAGGTTTAACAACCTTTGCGAGACACCCCCACATTTAAATTTATTTGTAAGATGGTTTTATACTCGGCCATAACTTGGATGGTGTTTTAATTCATTATCTTTAGGGGTACCTTATTTAAAAGGTAATTAGTTGATAACACAACTTCCCCCCACATTAAAGGTGACAAACCAAAACTTAACAACATGACATTCATCATTTCCTTTAAGGTATGGTTTTTCCTTTCCACAATGTCATTTTGTTGGCGAATAAGGTGAAATAATCTCATGTCTTATACCATGATTTGTACAAAATAGATCCATATAATCAAGTTGTTTTCTGATTTCTAAAGTTGTTTTACATAAAATTGAAGTTGTTTTTGACTAAACAAAGTCTTTTTTTTCAAAACAATACAGTCTGTTAGAGACTGTTTTAGCCCCAATAAAAATTGCCAAAATTGCAATCTAATTTCATAATCCAGTAGCCCTGTCTATTAGCTTTCCAGGGACTACTTGCACAAGTGCATAAGATTTTTCTACAATTTATTATGAATTTTACAAAACTGTGTATCATAGCTGCTAAAAACCTAACCAGTCAGTGAAAATCGTATTTTTCACCCTAGTTAGAGTTGTTTCCACCTTTCGGCCAAAATTAATGAAATGAAGTAGACTCATATACCAAACTTTGAGAATTGGTTTCAACAAAAATTGAGCATCCATGACAAAGTTACGATTTTTCAAAGATTGGGATAGATTAGAGCATTTCACAGCAACACGCAAATTGTGTTTTTGAGTTAAGCTAGATTCTTAACCCATTAGGTACTTAATGGAATCAGTACCAAAGCTAGAAAATTCGATAGTTAATAAAAAAACATGTCTTAATGAATTAATGACCAAATGTGCTTCAAAATCACAAAACAATCCATTTTTTTTCTTATGAAAATCGTAAAATATCAAAATAATGCAAGTAAAATTGTTTAAGATTTCTAATTCAATTCGTACAAACGATTTTTTTTTTAAGATTGTAGGAATAATATTACGGTAATGTACGAAAGCAAACAAGAAAATAGAAAAGACTGAGACATGTGTTTAATACATTGTCCTTAAAACAAATTTGCCCGCTGCCGGGTGTTTGTTTCCCAGTATACAACAGTTTGAAGTGGTTCTTGTAGACTACCTGAACCCTCAATAGGCCTGAATTTTACCTTTAATTCAGCAAGAAAACTAAGAACATGAAAATTGAGAAGAAGAGAGTTTTTGTATTCTTATTGGTGTATTCAAATGGTTGTAGAATAGTGGTATTTATACTACACATTCTATAACTTCCCATTTAAACACCTCTATTAATCACAAAAATTAATGTGTTTTAATATATAATTAAATTTTAATATTAATTACAATTTCAGTTACGAAAGAAAAAAATATTTGCAAGAAAGGTCCCTGAACTTTTCTTTTCTTTCTTCCACCCATTAAACTCTTTTATTTACTTCTTCTAACACCCTTATTTTAAAGATTAATTTCTCATTCATATTAAATCCATTTCGGACGTGTTAAAAAATGGGGAAAACTCATTTTTATAAATTGGTTAACACCAATTTTCCAACAAGGGACACATTTTCAAACATTTCATACCACTACAAACAAAATGACATTTAATGGTAGATATTTTTTATGTTACTATACTATGTTTTTAGTGGCACGGTCCATGTGTCGTTATAAAAATTGATAGATTTAATGACACTTAACATTTTTGGATGAGAACGGAATTGAACTCGATAACTTTCCTCCCACATATCCTTCTATTTGGAGTTAATTTGATGTTTTACGATCCGAAACCTCAAGTTATTAAAATGATAAGACATTGTTCCACCAAAAAACAAATGATCTTTATGGATTTCCTCGGTGATTATCTTCCAGAGTGCCAATGTAAGTTATTGTCAATGCCACCGCGTGTTCAGACAATTGTTGGGATCATTGGGATTCGCTAGGGTAGAATCAATTTCAGATTATATTGGATTGGATTTGGAAAAAATGAGAATGAAATAGGATGTAATTTGAACGGAATGGAAGAAGAGGTGTGGGTTTAGAAATGGTAGAAAGATGTATTTATAATGGGTTATAAATAGAATTAAAAAAAAAGTTGGAAATTTTAACCGTTGTGGAGAGAGGGAATAAGGGGGAAACATCACGCGTTACATAGCTCGCGTTTCAATCCAAATGGTGGAGTTTTTGTCCATAGTAGGGTTATAGACAAAACTATTTCCCATTCTAGTATACATTTAAAACTATTTACCTTTTTAGTATTTTTTTCATTTTTGTTTAATTTTTCAGCTTTTCTTAATGTTTTTTTATTTTAAATATATCCAAGTTTTCTCCATTTCTTTTTTATTTCACATTTTTACTGTTTTTCTAAATAATAATTTTTTTTCAAACTTTTAGTGTTTTTTTAAATAAAAATTTATATTTATATTTTTTATTTTTGTTTTTTATTTTAAATATCTATTTTTTTACATACAATTTTTTAGCCATCATAAAATTAAACATACAATATATTTTAAGATGTAAAAACTCCAACATTACAAACAAAATGTTTTTAAGGTAAAAAACACTCAACATTGTTTGAGACAAAAAAAAACATCACAATTAAAAAAAACTCCAATATTGTTTGTTACAAAAAGAAAATCACCACAATTAAAAAAAAAACTCCAATATTGTTTGTTACAAAAAGAAAAACATCACAATTAACTTGAACTTGAGCCGGTAACAGATCATTACCTGTAAAAACGATTAAAAAAAATAAAATAAAATAAGAGAATAGCCACAACAATACCATAAAAAATATTATATGTTTAATTACCTTGGCTTAGACGGACACCGTTTTCGATTATGACCCGGTTGCCTACAAATTCCACAAAGAGTGGCATTTCTTCCTTCTTTAATATCCATACCATTTTTTAATCTTGTTGAACGAGGCCAACCTTTTTTATTCCGTAATAATTCTAAATTTGGAAGTAATGCATTAAATGGTGATTGTGGCCAATATGCTTCATGAGGAAGCAGGGAGAACTCAGATGCCCAAGTAGCACAATAATATACAATCGAGTAACATTTATCAACATATTGCCAACTATTCAAAGAGAGTTTGGCACATGCACTCAAGACATGAGAACAAGGATATTTAAATGCCTCCCACTTACCACATGTGCAAGTTTTTTGTTCCAAATTAACTACTTGCACATTTCGACCTCTTTGAGTTATCAACTCAAATATACCTTTTTCTCGATTAAAAGATCTCAAGGAATGTGCACTTGCTTTTGCCATCAAAGCTACTTGTTTTGCAATAACATGTGGAGTATGTGCATCTCCATTAGCTTGAGAACTAGATCCTAAAGGACGTCTCACCTCAAAATAATGCACCATTCTATAGAATGTAAGTTGCACACAATTGAAAATCTCTAAGTACACTATTGAAAATCTCTGACAAATTTGTTGTGAGTAACCCATATCTCCTGCCACCATCATATGCAAGTGTCCATCTATTAAGTGGATGGCTCTCCAACCAATGTCGAGCATGTGGATTTAGCTTTCCAATTTCTTCCATGATGGAGTTGAACTTTCGAATTTGATTCTGACTCCCGGCACGATAAGCTAAAGCTTTCAACTCTGAATTACGAAACTTGTCATAAAAGTTGTTGATGAAATGTCGTAAACAATACCTTTAAAATAAAAAAAATGTAAGTTAATGAGGCAAGTTATTGAAATGTTATAAAGAATAATTAAGAAATATAATAATACCTATGAAAACCACGTGGCTCTAACCATGGAGATCCATGCTCATTGACAGCCTTAAGGATTCCCCCATGACGATCAGATATTAGACATATGCCTTCACGGTCTTTCACCACATGATTCTTGACATGAGAAAGAAACCAATTCCAAGTATCATAAGATTCATTTTCTACAATAGCAAATGCAAGTGGCAAAATCTGATTATTACCATCAACTCCCATTGCAATGAGCATCTTACCCGTGTACTTACCGTACAAGTGTGTACCATCAATGCTAATCACCGGTCGACAATAATGAAACCCTTTGATAGAGGGAGCAAAAGCCCAAAAAACACGCCTAAATTCAACTTCATCTACATCGGTTGATCTTGAAACACACCATTCAACAATAGTTCCTGGATTGAACTTTTGAAGTGCACCTAGATATTTTGGTAAAGAGACATAAGACTCTTCCCAATTTCCAAACACATGTTCAATTGCTTTTTGCTTTCCAACCCAAACCTTCTTATATGAAGGAGTATAGCCTAGTGTTTCAACTATTTCAGCTCTCAAAGCAGGAATACTGATAGAAGGTTGTGCTTTTATAAGGTGCCTAGTTTCCATAGCAATCAAGCTTGCATCTAGGTTCGGATGATCTTGAGAAAGCTTATAGTGCAAACAAGTATGTGGACCGGTATAAGTTGTGATTTCAAAATATCCACTACGTTTACGTTTACTTGCATGAAGTTTCCATTTGCAACCAGATTGTAAGTATAACTTGCATCTTAGAGTCAAAATAGTTGGGCGTGAGTCAATGACCTCAAATTGTCTATGTGTCCTAATGCAATGGATCTTGATTGCTCTAACAAGTTCTTCTTTATCCTTGAAAGAATCTTTTCCCAACTCTCGTATGAAATCATTCTTACTCGTTGATTGCGACACAATCCAATTGTCATCAATATTCAAATTTGTTCCTTCCATATTAGTAAAAGTTGAAGGTACTTCAACATTGTTGTCAAAAGGTGCTTCTTCATCATTTTCCTCTCCAATTTCATCTTCCAAATTTTCATGTAACTCATTTTCATTGTTTATATTCATCATATTAGTTATAACAGCAGCTTGAGAGATTATAGAAAAATCATCATTGTCAATCATGTCTATAATAGAATTCATCTACAAAACAAATAAAAACAAACAAAAACTAATAAAAAACTAATAGAATTCATCTACAAAACAAATAAAAACAAACAAAAACTAATCAAAAAACTCATCATGTCATCTATGACAACAAGAAAAAAGAAACAAAAACTAATCAAAAATTGCTTATATCATCTATGACAACAAGAAAAAAGAAACAAAAACTGATCAAAATTTGATTATATCATCTATGACAACAAGAAAAAAGAAACAACAACTAATCAAAAATTGATCATATTATCTATGACAACAAGAAAAAAGAAACAGAAGTAAAAATTGCAATCAATTCCATCTAAAAACATCAAAAAACAAGCTGGGACATATATAAAAAAATCAAACAGATGCAGAACTTGATCTTCAATTCGGTGGAGAAGGATCAAAATCAAGAAAAAATGAGAGTGCAATGAATTAAACAGAAAAAACTACAAAAAAACGAGAAGGAAAATAGGTTGCATACCTTGAAACCGGCGAGTTTATGGAGGCGGTAGGAGGGCGGCGACGGGCAGAAGAGGTTGCAGGTAGGTGGCCGGCGTAGGAGGAAGAAGCCACAGGCGGCTGGCTATGGCGGATGAAGCCGTTGGCTGAAGAAGACGATTGAAGCCCTAGCCTGTTTTCGTTTTTTTTTTCTGTACGCTGTTCCGTTCCAGCATGTAGGGAGCGTTATTATTTTTTTGTTTTTAATCATAAAAAACAATAATAATAGTTTTAAATTCAAAATAATACTAATAAGGTAAATAGTTTTGAATGTATACTAGAATGGGAAATAGTTTTATGTATAACACTAATATGGATAAAAACTCCCAAATGGTGGTACCCTCCTACTATGGGCCAATGTAGCTGGCGCCACCACTGACCCGCACCACCTTTCTACCGACTCCGGTCCACCCTCATCATTTAACAATCTTTTCAATTTTTATTACGACTTAATCACTTATGGAAAAAAATGCAATTTCATAATTTACAAATCCCGCAAAAGATTATTATATGACTATATAATCTAATTTTTGTGGTCTTTGAATACACATTTAAAAAAAATCCTCACAAAACTACCCCTCCCCCAAAATTCTCTGACAAATGAGTCTCACAGCAAGAAAGTAAGTATAATTTAAACACTAGTAGTTTGCAAAAAAAAATATATATATATATATACTTTTTGCTTTGGGTTTCACTAATAGATACTATTTGGATAAACCTCAAACATGTTTAGCTTGATTCATTTTTAACCGAATTTTTGACCACCCATACAACACTTATTTAAACAAACCATTAGGACTTTAGAAAAAAAAAACGAGAAAAGAAAGACAACCTTAATTAAAAACATATGATCATAATGTGTGCAATAAATTTATGAACATAGAAAAAAGCATCCAATGAATCATGCTATTTCATACATTGTAAAAGTAGGTTGGTAGTGTCATATACTCGCATAATATCCAAAGTAAAGTAGTAATATTTCAATATAGTGTAATAGAACAACGATTTTCATCAAAATCATCAATCAGATTTTATTATTTACTCGTTGACTCTTATATTTCTACCTCTTTCCATATAGCCAGATACCACAATATAGACTGATGCATATATGAAACCCATGATGAAAATGCTCCAGCTGATAAGAATAAACCTCACCCAAAACCTCTTCTCATTTATGAGTGTAACACCCATTTGATAACCTAAGAAACCCAGCATCCCAATGCCCCAACAGTGAAGAATAAACCTCATCAAAAAGTTGATGATGAATGTGATGAGGTTAATGGAGTCGAGCATCCCCATAAGACACATTTGATGAATACCAATCACCTCAAAACTAAATGCTACTATAAAAGCCTTCCTTTCATCTTCCTCACTTATTCCAACAAACTTTACAATTTGGGAAATACATTGGGAAATTACAACAGATGTGATGAACAACTGAAACTCATCACTCATGCTAAAGTTAGCAACTCCTCCTGGGGATATTAACACAAAGATCGCACTCATGTAAAGTATCAATCCAGGGGTCAATACAGTCTTTTCCATCCTGCTTTATATATATATATTAAACATAAATGAAAAGTCAACAAAATAAAACCCTGTCAATGTTGGTGAAAGAAGAAAAGGAACAAAACATAAAAGAGTTCATGAATTGAAGAATAATAAAAAAAAAAAGGTTACATTACTCGTTTTCTAAACCGGAAGGGGCTAGTTGTAAATTATGGAAAATAATAAACGAAACTGCTGTCAAAACAATTGAAAATAAGTCTCATTATTTACAGCAACAAGATATGTAAACAAGAGAGAATAAATCGTTGCTTTATTTGATCATTTTGTAAAGATTTCTTAATCAATATGAGATGATATGATAGTATCCCAATTACAATGTCTAAATCTTGTTCTCAACTGTTATTTGTGAGTTAAATCATGAAGCAAAGTTTCTGTAAATGGTTTAATTGTATGATCAAGGTTGTAATGTGGTAATTGGTATGTGTATATGAATTCAAAATTTCAACAAACATCAGGGCAATGTGTGTGTGCTTCTAAAGTCCCACAACAATCAATTGGATACAAAAATTCCCAAACATCAATCGAAATTAAGCTAAGAATATGGAATTGGGAAGATGAAATTGTACCTGAATTTGATTTTTGATGATCAAAAACTTTGTTGCAATTGAATGTGATGCTCCAGTGAGAGTCAAACCTGCATGATTTGAAAAAAAATGTAGGATTAAAACTTTTATCTAGCAATATTGAGCAAAAAATTATGTTACTGAGTGCACATCGACACCTACTATACACCAAACAAAACGATGTAATCCCAAGTGACTGATTCACATTGCAAATAAACTCCAATTCAGAATATCAACCATAATCAGTTTCAAAATTCACGATACGTACAGAAATCCTTGCCCAAAGATATAGATATAAGCATCGAGTAAAATATGATCGAAAAATACAGTAATTCAGGGACCTAGGGTTTCGATTTCAAGAGAATCACACATAAGTTGGTTTCACCTCTTTCAATCGCACACACAATTATGATCCTAAAATATAGAATGCATGTTAGGCATCGCATAGCACAAACGGCACAACCGATCGAACTTTGAACAAAGAAAGCATAGATAGATAATGTAGGTAGTTGTTCGCGAGAGGTGAGAAAATCGGATTGAAACAAGGAATGATGTGATGTTAATAATGATACCTGGTAAGCTGGTGGTATCTTGAAAGTGAAGATTTCTGCTGGTGATCGATTTCAACAGATACGGTGCCTGCAAACCTTCAAACACTGCTACAAATTCAACAACAAATCGGACGAGTATCTATTTAGATGTAAGAAGAGGCATCAAGAGACAGAATTATGTTGCACATCGTGCTCGTGATCGAAGCATTTTCTGGAAAATAACAAGAAAACAAAGATGCGAAGTGAGTATGAAGCTTCGTCAATACCTGTTCACCGGCGACGAGAGTAGACAGACGACTGCCGACTGTGTGTTGATCGGTGAAGCATCTTCCTACTAAACCCTATTCTTCTTACTTACTGAACCCCATTTTCCAAAAAGAAAAAGACAAACAAACAAAAAAGGCGTGAATTTGAAAGAGGCGGTTACGAGCAATATTTGAACCGGAGAGAATTTGAAAGAGGCGGTTATATTTGAACCGGAGATATTAGGAGGAGAACTCAGTTAACTTCTAACTGAAATTTGATGTTTGATTTTGCAGATTGAACACTAAATTTATAGCTCATCACCATGTTAAAACTTAAAAGGCTGTCATAGCTCATCACCATGTTAAAACTTAAAAGGCTGTCATAAAGTAAACATGTGTATGTCTTAAAGGAATTTCAACGAATGGTTGGTGGGCCACTGCTAAGTATTCTTTTTTCTCCTCAATACCATCCACATACATACACACAGAAAGAGTAGCATATGAGTAAAGGCCTAACCAATATGCTTTTTGGAAAAGAAAACTAATCAAAAGATTAAGAAGCAATGAAAGTCTCTTAATTTTTTCTAGGATACATTTTTACCTTGTTGATCCTTTTGAATAAATTACTTTCTTTGTCTACCTTTCACTAACCATATCATGGTCAACTACAAAATCAGCACCAACATATCACAAACAACCCGTTACTGCCCAACATACAAAATCAAGAACAATGAATGAGTTATTCATTGATAAATAAAGAATAGTTACTAAAGAAAGAAAGAAAAAAATGTAGAATCAGAACAGTAAACACAAGAAATGCATACCCAACTAACAACATTCAGGCTCCATTTTACAAAATTTAATCACACAAAGCTTTCATGCTTGGCAAACACTCTCTTTCACATAATAAACAACATATATATATATGTTACAGTCCATAATATCATCATAAATTTTCTAGCATCGTAGGATAAGTTAAGAAAAAATAAACTTTTTCATTTTCCAGAAAAACTTAATTTCCCTATATTTACCTGGTCAGAACATGCCAATAATCAAATATATATTAGCCCCTTAAAGTACACATCAAAGAATGGGTGAGGGTAGAGGCGAATGAGGAGATAGTGGGAACTAAAAAGCAAATAATAAGACAAAGAGGGGGAATGGTGGTTACCATGGTTGCTTAGTAGTGATGGTGCGATGCTCTTGAGTGCAGTGGCAGAGCTTCAATATTTCATTTGGGGGGCCGAAAATATAATTTGTATAAAAATTGGTGAACAGGGGGGGGGGGCATAGTCAAAATTTTATATTTTTGGACTAAATATGTATAAAGTTAAAGCATAGGGACTATTTATGCCAAAAAAATCAAGGGGGGCCATAACCCCCTAGCCCTTGAAAAGATCCGCCCCTGCTTGAGTGGTGGTGAGTTTGATGGTGGTGAAAAACAGAGGAGAGACGTTAGGATTGCCAATAGGTCTGATAGTGATGGTGCAATGCTCTTGAGTTGTGCGAGGTATGTGGCCGTGTTACGGAGTGAGGTCGTGGTGTCGGTGGGGAGTTGCTATGAAACGGTGAGTGGGTTGACGGCTAGATAGGGTTACAAATAAGGAGAGATGGTAAAGAGAAGGGTGAGAGGATCGGTTTCACGAAAAGGGGGGGGGGGGCTGTGAGGGTTACCAAGTGGTTGTTAGCAGTTTGACCGCCGGGAGTGGTGGTTGCTGGTGGCGACAAATAAGAATCACTTAAATAATCTAACATATGTACAAAAAATAAAAATATTAACTTAAAGTCTAACTAACCTTCTCTATCAGATGATTTTGAATTTAATTGACCAAACAAACCATGTTTTCTCTTTTTCATTGAACTATAAACATACTCATAAACATTATTTCTTGCCTTTTTCTTCTTCCAAGAATTACTAGATGAAATGTCAATTGGCTTCTTCATAGACTTACTGGAATGAATCTCAATTGGACTCTCAATATCTGAAAATAGACGCAGAACAAAACCAAAACAAATACAATCTTACTTCTATCATTTTAAAAAAATTTAACAACAAAAAACTTTAACTTACTCTCCTTTTTCACTTCAACAGTTCGAAATTCTTCTTCTTCTGATACTTCATCATCATCTAGAATTAATCATGGAATCAACTTTGTCCACATAATCATTTTCACAATCCTTCTTCCTGAAAACCATTTTCTGTGATGCCAGTGGATATTTCTTCTTGAATTTTGTATGCGAACTAACCCTATTCCTCTTTACTTTCGCATCTAACAAAGCTTTGAACGCAAACATTAAGTTCAATAAAATAAAAATACATAATCTATTATTCCAGGAAAATGTTAAACGAGAACTCTGAAGAAAATTTGAAAGAATGAAAACGTAATTCTTCATACACCATCGTGTAAACGGTTACAAACATTTGAAAACCACCTCCTCAACCTTCTCCGCCGGTTAGAATGATATTAGATAACATACATCGAGAAATTACATTAATAACCTTTAACTTAAAATATAATATAAATACTATTAAATTGCGTCTGAAATCAAAGAAAAAAAAATAAAACTATTCATTTATATATGCTTCATTTCTATTGGTTCTTTTCTTTTTCACATCTTCTTTTCATTTGTACTAGAACCCACTTATATATATATATATATATATATATATATATATATATATATATATATATATATATATATATATATACATCAAGCGGTTCGGTTCGGTTATCCGTGGATATCTAATTATCCAAACCAAAATCGACCCGTTGATATCCGGTTTTTTTCGGTTTCGGTTTTTTTAAGTTTCGGTTTCAGATCGGCCGGTTCGGCTCGGTCTTTCGGTTTTGCGGTTTTTTTGCACATCCCTACCATGAGGGATATGCCTACGGACCCAATTAAAAAAAAACACCAATTCTACCTAGTATAAAGATACACAATTTTATACAGAAGTTTAATTATGTTAATGGAGAATAAACTCCAACGTACAAACAAATTTTATATATAGAACACGAAAGTTTAAAATTTGAAAGTTAATCGTATAATCTTGGAATTTTGATAAAACTTAAATTCAAGAGAAAAAATTTGTGGCTTGGCAATTAGGCCAAGCCCGATTATCCACAATCTCAAAATGGCTATAAAAACAAAAACTGATAAAAAAAAAAATCTCAATCAAGATTCTGTTATATTAAAACACCAAAAGCCACTTCCTAAAAAAAGAAAACGGATACTTAAACTAAAAATTAATCTAATCTACAATTTGAATTTGATTAGCAAATTATATCCTAATCAAAAACTATTTGCAACTAAGAAATTCAGACACATGTAAAATAATACTTACTAACATAGAACAATGCCAATTTCGTCCCTTAACGATCCTAGATGGCTTAAAAACATCATATCTTAGTGAAACGATGTGTTTTGATTGTTGCTCCATTGTGGGACTGACCATGAAAATTATGGCATGTTCCAACGCCAAAAGCAAGTGCGACTAAATTACCAAAGTCATTATTTGTGATGACATCATCATTGATGTCATCATCACACTCTAAAATAGTAGGAAAATCACCAAAGATTTTTGCCTATGCGTCTAGTTTGTCATGAGATTTAGGCATGAGATTTAGGCAGGTGGGAATTGGCTCGACAAGGACATAACATAGGAACATTTATGAATAGCTATCGCCACAAAGACAATTGGAATACGTATAATCTTATTTGCATGCTTCTCGACCTTTTCCCAGGGTTCCACACTCTTTCCAACAATCAATACAACCATGGAAATACATAAGATCGTTAGGTCTGTATGAATGAACAACCGATCACCATTACCCTTACCAATGTTTGTGTTATATCTTTAGTTTCCAAAGGCTTGTGGGAGAACCAAAATGAATCTCAACAATGTTCCCAACAAATAGATCGACATCATCAATACCATCTTGCAAACCACAAAAGGTAGGACAATTTGGTTTATGATTCGTATATTAGTTCGTACAAGTATCGTCTACCATATGTAGGTCAAAAGAAACAATAAGATACTTAAGAATAAGGGAAGACCTTAGGAGTTCGAGACTCTTGAGCCTGAGTCATGGGACCTCCCTAAATGTTGCTAAGGTGATTTGCAACCTCCTTCTAAAGAATGAAGATATCACTATAGAGCACTCATCTCGACTTTCCATCCAAAGATTTGTTTCTTACCGTGTCTTTGTGTTATGTGTTGTTTGTGTTGCTTATGCTTCTTTAAAGTAATGTATTTGTTTATGAGCTTGTTTGGCCTCCATTCTTTTGTTGTTTTATGTAGTCAGGTTGTTTTAGCTTATGGGGCTATCATATGGGTATTTTACTTTCCATAGGTGGGGATCCAATAGTTATTGTATTAATTCTTTCTATTAATAAAATTGAATAGAGAAGGCGTCTTCCTTTATAAGAGATGATGCGATGAGATTTTTTATAAATCAGGTTATACGAATATCCAGAACTTTTCTAAAACTCACGTTGGAATTGGACTAGTTAAGGGACTTTTTAATACTCTCACATATTTGGGCCTTTATAATATTTTAAGCGTTTCTAATGACTAATACTTCCACGTTGGACTACTGAATATATAAATATCACGTCTCTTTTTAAATAGATTGTGGTAGCAAACTAAACTAAATTCCAAACATACGGTAGCACAAATATGACTTTATTAAATCACACTAAGCATACATTTCATTTAGCATAATCCCAAACGAAGCTTGAACAATATAAAACATGAAATATTAAAGTAATTACAAATTGATAGAAATACAATTAAGAGTACGAACCAAGCACAATTTATAAAAATATATAAACCATGAAATATTAATACGATTTTTATATGACACCAAGAAAAAAATATCAATGTTAGTTATAGAAAATGAGTGCTTAAAATTACTTTTGTTTTTTAAATTAGAAATTCAAGTATATCTAAAACTATCCAACCCGACCCAAAACCCAAATAGTAATTATATAATACACTAATTCTAAACTCCTTGGTGAACAGGAGTTGATTCCTATTGGATGATTTTTTTTTATATTTTTTTTAAGTGTGAAACCTGCTGGCTAGGGTTTAAGAGATTGGGGTTACGTGTGCTGTCTTCTATTTTCCACCGCTTATATACGTGTCCGCCTTCTGTTTTCCAAAGCGATACGTGTCCGATGCTTCCACCGCTCCATCTCTTTCTTCCTTCCAAACCTTCCACCACCGCTCACTTTATCTTCCCTCACCGATCCACCATCTTTTTTTGATCGCTGCTGCTCCAAATCGGTGATCTTGCTCTTCTCCATGCTTCCCACCGCTCACCTCACCGGTCCTGCTATTCATTTGGAACATCTATTGCACCAGAAAACCTTTGATTGACGTCTGATTAAAATCTTTAACCACCTCTGGGAGACTTTGCTTGTTGATCGGCATTTCGATGCATTGGAAGGACCGAAGTTAGATACTGTTAGGGTACATAATATGTTCGATTCTCCCCTTCTTCGATTAAAGTTTATCAAATTATTTTAGTTTTAACAGTTTGTTTTCTCTTCTATAACAGCCATCGGAGGAAATAATTCTTCCTGATAACAAACAATGGTTGTGTCTTCTACAATCTATTTCCAATTCTAAGCGGTTCAGTATTCTTAATCGGTGATGCTACAAATAATCGAATGGCTTCAAAAGAAGAAAACGTAGGGTTATGTACCAATCAATTTGCTTCTTTCTTCGATTCAATATCTTTTTCTCATGGTCTGCTCCAGAAACCATGCTGGAAACGCCTATGAAGGTGAGATCGATCGATTTACCCTTTTTTTCAACTCCTCTATACATATTTGGGATTTTGAGTTTTCAAATTAGGGATTCTAATTTTTTTTTCTACTTTCAAAAAATCGTTATAAAAGTCATATTATAACCTTTAAAAACTGTTAAATAATCCATTCAAATTCCTGGCATAGTACAATATTTTTTCTAAATAATCACAAGGAATATAACGATTTTAAAAAAAGTAAAGTGGAAGTAATTTGTTACTTATCACAATTTACCCTTCTTAATATATCAGATATTAGTCGATCTAAATGGGTATCATCTGGGTTCTGTTTCTTGATTCTTTCTTTTTTGGCAGGGTCTTGCATTGCTGTTAGGCTTTTATGTGATATGTCTTTGTGCATTTATATAATATATATACCTCCATGTTTCAGTTTTTGATAATTTTTAGACCAATTTATGTTACCAATTTGGTTAAGTAGTGCATAAACCAATTAGGGCATAAATCGGTAAAAGATTGTAACTGTGTTGAGGTGCAACATTAACCAATTTAGCTAGATTTTGTACATGATTTTCAGGTGAAACTGATGAGGTATAATCTCTTAGAAGTTCAGTTTCTTAAATTAATGGTGTTTTACTTCTTAATTTTTAATGAAAATGGAGTTTGAGTTGTCCAAAGAAGCCATCAGATTGTTTTTAGTCTCTTATTAGTGGTTGGGTGTTACATTCTTCAGCTTTTTTTAATTATGACCGTTTCTTTTGGTTGTCTGATTCTACCTGTCCTTACTTCACAATCTTCAGGTAATTTTGGATTCCATTATTTTCAACCGACCAAATTACAAGAGATGTGAAATTCTCCTCATATATAATTTTGATTAGGTGTTGAAACGACTTTTTTACCTTCTTACCTCCAGGAATCAATGATCGTTCAAAATGTGGAACCTCATTTGAGCAGTAATCTTCTTACCTTCTACTTCCTTCTATCAGAATACCGATCTAACAGATCATAATCATAGCAACATCCTATAACCAGGATAACGACCTAACCAGGTCACTAAGCATATTACCATCCTAATTACCAGAATGTAAATCAATAAGCATATCATGCAATAAACCCGGATACAAATCCGATAAGGGCCGTCATTGGTGCCTTAAACCCTGTTGATATAGTGAGGAGAACTCACCTGGCACTGCTGAAGTCCCGCGGATAAAACTCCAGCTGCTAGTCGACAGATTCCCGAGCTGTCAACATCAAACAACACCCAATTAATAATTAGGTTCCAAGCCCAAGGTCCAACTCACACTCCAAAGGCCCAATAGTCAACCAATGGGCTAAAGCCCAACATATGGCCCAATTTTCCAAATTGGGCCCAAACCTCTACATGGTCTTTCCTTAAGGCCCATCCAATTATTCTAGCCCAAACTCTTGGTATTCCCATGACCCAATATCACATAATCATAAGGGCCCAATCATGGCCCATCAATGGCCCAATTTTCCAAATTGGGCCCAAGACTCTCACATGGGCCTTATCCTAAAAGCATCAACGTATTCTAGTCCATATGATCATTCTTGGATGGCTCATTAATAATCCAATTATCAAAGCCCAATGGAAAGGCCCAACACAAAGCCCAAGTGAAATTAGGGTTTTACATAAAATGACAATTAGGGTTAAGTGTTTCTTACTTAACCCATTAAGGACTTAATCCATAAAGTACAATATTGTCTTAGGTTAATTTCCCAATGATTATTAATTATTACTCTAGGGTTATTAAATAATTCCCGTGTGTGTCCCGATAAATTCCCAAAATTAGGATTTTATGCCATTAGGGTTTTCCAAACCCTATTTAGGGTTTCCAACCCAATCTTAGCCCAATAGCTAGTCCTTTGATTAATTAGGGTTCATTAGGCCCATTAGGGCTTCATTGGGCCCATTAGGGTTTCAAGCATCCCAAACGAATCTAACACAACAAGACAAAGCACACCGCCACCCGACACGACGGCCGGTTGTGGCAGCCACCACCTCACGGTGGTGGTTAGGGTTTCATTTCATTATTCTGATTTCTAGTTACATTCTACAATGCTAATCCTAACTAAACACACACAACCACTAAGACACACACACACAAGGTGGTTCATGGCGGCAGCCACCACCTCACGGTGGTGGTGGTGGCGGTTCTTGATTTCCCTGCCAACAAACTACACACACTACAGCAGAAACAAACACCCACCCGCTTTCTTTCTTGCAAACGGATCCAGCCACCCCCTTGCGGCGGTTGACGACAGCAGCAGAAACACGAGCGTCATAACGGCGGCACAACGGCGGTGCTGAGCTTTCCTTCTGGTTCCCGATGATTCTCGATTTCTCACGACCACACAACAGCGAATCCGACCCTTCTTCGGCCACTGGTGGTCGTCCCGGGTGCTCACAGCGTCACTGGCAACGGACTACGGGGATGGCGGCGTTGGAGGTCATTGAAACGGAGGTGGTGGCGGCGTTTGACTACAAGGTGGCGACGAGGACGCTGGCGGCTGACGGCTCAAGCTAGTGGCACCGTTGACGGCTAGGAACAGCAGCAACACCTGCCCGACATCGGACTTTAGCTGCCTCGGTTCCTCCGGTGGCAACTTGAGGTGGCGTAGAATCGGAGATAGCGGCAGCAACAGGTTCGTGGTGGCGGCTTCGGTGGTCGACGGTCTCAGTGGTGGTGGTGCGGCACCGGAAGGTGAAGAAGTAGGAGTGATGGCCAGTGAGGGAGGTATAAGGAGGGTTGATGGTTGTGCTCTTGCTAGGGTTAGGGTTACGGGGCCTTTAATACCCGACTCCACTTAAAAGTTTGCCATAATGGCAACAACAGTCCCTCCCCTTCCTTTTTGTTTCAAATGTAATCCAATATTTACCCTTTCTACCCTGGCTTTGGAAATCTCCTTCAAATTAAATCTGATATTTACTCCTCAGCCCCCAGCTTCCAAAATCATTTCAAATAAAGTCCCAGAAGTTACCACTTAGCCCCTGCCTTCATAGTACTTACAAAACCAATCCGAAACTTACACTTTTAACCCCCGACTTCCAAAATTGTGACAATTAGCTCTCCGAGACCAACCTTTGATATGTAATTACTTATTTTAGGGCTACTATTCGTTCATTAATTTTTATCTATTTAATTATTTAATAAATGGGGTGTTACAACTCTCCCCCACTTAAATTAGATTTCGTTCTCGAAATCATTCCTTACCATTCTTTACACGCCCGACCACTCTAGTAACTTGGTCACCATCCTGGCACACCCTAGGCTTCCCAGGGTAGTCGTGACCAATCTTCTTAAAGCCCTAAAATCCGCAGATGAACGAATTCCTCGCAACAAGATAACATCTACTCGGTCTGAAATCTGTTGTCTTGAGATGGTCTGAATCCCTGACAGACCACTCATACTGAATCATTATCATTGAATCTAGCCTGCTTATCCCTCAACTGACTACTCAACTTCTGATAACTCGAGGTTCCCACTATAAAATAGGGTCACATACCCAATTATCCTTGCAGACCACTTATACTTGGCCAAGGCTCAGATATTCCCGATGTGAGTGACTTTTCACTCCCCAAATCATCTAGCTATTTCGTCCGTACTCGCACCCTGAACACAAATGCTAACACTTCCCAACGCTGAAACTGCTTGAACATTGAACTGCCTGAAGCAGTATGTTGCTACATAGCTGTTTCCAAAATCTATCGAGACCTTCATGGTCTCAATTCATCTGTCAGTCATCTGAATGACCGGGTTCCAGCCCAGCTGCGGGGCCAAAGACTCACACGCAGTCGCTCCATCCGACTTCTGAACAAAATCCTCCTCTGGAACTAGTTGCCACTATTTATCATGCCATTGTTGCTCTAACAATCTCCCGATCCAACCGATCGGGCCCATGCGTCGAATCCTGACACCACCAAATCCCAGGCTAAAAGTGATTGCCACCTGACCAATGGTAGCCTTACATCACAAGCAACCTTAAGCAATCCATTGCTTCCTTGGTCTCATAGCTTTAGTGGCGTGGCTATAGTCTGGGGGTACTACTGTTCCTTTCGTGTCCTAACAACGCGTTCATGATATCTACTAACCTAGTGAGTGTTGCGGCTACACCTACAGACTTACATCACTCTAGCACTATCTGCTAATCGGGTGAGTGCTACGGCTACCCCCGCAGTCTTACAACACTTTCCATACTACCTGATCGCTAGTGAATGTTACGACTACCCTTGCAGTCTTACAAGACTTCCCATATCGGTCGAACACGCACTCGACCTAACACACAACTGAACTTAATCCATGGCTAGCATCCCAACCTGATTCCCCAAATTCTGCTATCAAGCACCGAGAAGACGCGATTCACATGCTGGGGAGTTTTACCGAACTCCCAACTCACACAACCCTCAAACCTAACAAGTATTTGGGTTGTCCTCCTTCCTGGCAACGATGCGAAACTTATCCCATTTCAAACCGCTCCTGCTTCTGAACCCTAGGATAATTCTCCCCCACTTAGATTCAT